GCTTTCAAAGGCGTGTTTTTCTCTCTAACACCAGCTCCCTTTGCTCAGGGCAGAGCAGCAGGACCTCTGCCTCCCCACACCCACCCCCACCCCACCCCCACCCCCACCCCTACCCCCACCCCACCCCCACCCCCACCCCCACCCCCACCCCCACGCTCCGCACCCAGAGAAAAACAACCGCGAGGAAGACTCAGGGCTCAGTGGTGGGTCTGGACCCGTGGTCCCCACCCAGGGGCCCGAGGACTTGCTCAGTCTGGCCAGTTTGTTTGTTTTTGTTTTTGTTTTAAAATATTTCATTGATTTTTTTACAGAGAGGAAGGGAGATAGAAACATCCACGAGAGTCATCGATCAGCTGCCTCTTGCACGCCCCCTACTGGTAAGGTGGCCACCCGCCAAAAGCGGGGCGTCTGGTCACCTTACCTACCGAGGATGTGACCGCAACCAAGGTACGTGCCCTTGACCCGGGAATCGAACCCGGGACCCTTCCGTCCGCAGGCCGACGCTCTATCCACCGAACCAAACCGGTTTCGGCCAGTTTGTGTTTTTTAAACAACGGAACTCTATGCCTCTCGTGGAAACCAGGCGGCGTCCACGTGTGGTTGGCCAACTTCCCTTGAGAAACGGGGCAGCCAGGCCCCGCGGGGCACGCACTTCCCGTGGTGGCCGTGGGCACGGCTGGGCAGCCGGCGGCCCTTTAAGAGGGGAGCGAGGCCTCCACGTCCCCACGGTCCCCACCACTGTGCCCGCCCCGGCTCTGCTCTCCTCTGGTGCACCTGCCCCTGGGGCGGAGGGTGCAGGCGGGGGCTGCCCTCACAGCTGCGCACCTGTGCAGCCACCTACCTGTCCCGCAGAGCCGGCAGCTGGAGAAGAGGTGGCGGGCAGGACAGAGGGAGTCCGAGCCCGTCAGCTCTGGGTGCTCCGGGGGCAGAGAAGGTCGCAGCCGGACTCGGACAGAAAAGCAGATCTGAGGGGTGGGTGGGGTCCGAGCCCTGGCACTGCTTCCGTGCGATGGATACGGGCACTCCGGCCGCCCCGGGGCGGGGGCTCGGCCCCACGTGCCCACCTGCAGGGTCCTCCCCGGCTCTGCTGCTGGGGGGCAGCACCCCGAGGCCCTGGGTGTCCGTCCCTGGCGCTGTCAGCGCTGACTGTGACCCCAAATCGGATGGACAGCCCCCTCCCAACACACACACACACACACACACACACACACACACACACACGCTCTGGGCCAGAACAACCCACCTGCTGCCGCCTGAGGCTCTCCTTCAGCCTCAGGGACCAGCTGAGAGGAGGGAGAGGGAGGGAGGGAGGGGGAAGGCACGAGCTGAGGAAGGCCCAGGGTGAGGACCTGGGGGTGGGGGCCAGAGTGCAGGTTCTAGGACTCTCTAAGCCCCCTCCCCAGATGCCAAAGACGCAGCTTCCCCAGGCCCCGGCCTCCCGCTGAGACCACTGCCCAGGACCAGCCGCACAGGGTGCAGGGCCTGGTGCAAAATGACACCGCGGAGGCCGGCGGCCCCGTGCAAACCTCAGGAAGGGCTCGCCAGCGGCGGCAGCTGCAGGGCGTTAAGCATTAAGCAGAGCATCAGGGCCTTCCGAGCGCGGCCCGGCGCACCTGCGTGGGCTGCACACCGTGAGGCCGGTCTGTCCCTCCCTGCTCCGGGCCTCACGCCAGGGCTGTCCGCTCGGGGTCTCCACAGCCCCCCGTGCTCTGACCACAGTGATTGCCTGGCACGGTGCCGAGGACCGAGGAAGACGGCCAGATCTGCTACATTCATCCTGACAGAGAAGGTCAAGCCCGGCCGGATCGCTCAGTGGTTGGGCATCGACCTATGAACCAGGAGGTCACGGTTCGATTCCCGGTTGTGGGCTCGATCCCCAGTAGGCGGCGGGCAGGAGGCAGCTGATCCATGATTCTCTCTCATCAGTAATGTTTCTCTCTCTCTCTCTCCCTCTCCCTTCCTCTCTGACACCAATAAATGTTTGTTTGTTTTTTAAGTTAACAACTACAACAAGAGAAAGGCTGGAGAAACACCAACAGGAGCTTGGGGTCTCGTCGCCAGTGGTCGCCAGGACCGGCTTCCTGGCCGTGTCCCTGGGCCACGTGAGATGCCAACGGAAAGGTTAACTGGGTGAAGGTGCAGTGGCGGACGCCTCTGGCTTACGCTGGGGCCGGCCTGCCCATCTGGAATTGCTCCCGAATAACAGGGCGGGCAGACGTCTGGGGAAAGAGGTTCCTTGTGGGAAAACATGCAGGCGACAACGAGACAGGAGCTCTGTTCATGCACACGATGCCACTCGCCTCCGTACGCCTGCGGGGCCGCCCCAGCATCGAAAAACCCGCTCTCGCCGGGACCGGTTTGGCTCAGTGGATAGAGCTTCGGCCTGCGGACTGAAGGGCCCCAGGTTCGATTCCGGTCAGGGGCATGTACATCAGTTGCGGGCACGTCCCCGGTAGGGGGTGTGCAAGAGGTGGCTGGTCGATGTCTCTCTCTCATCGACGTCCCTAGCTCTCTATCTCTCTCCCTTCCTCTCTGTAAAAAAACCAATAAAACCTATTTTTTTTTTAAAAAGAAAAAACCCGCTCTGCCTTCCAACGGGGCTAGTGAGGTCACTCGGGGTTCGGGTTTGCACGTGGGGAGTCTGGAGCTGACGCCGGCATGAGACAGGGAGGAGAACCTGGAGTTGCCAGCCAAGGAGGGGACGGGCCGGGCGGAGAGCTGGGCAGACAAACGGCAGGACCGGACCAACGTATAGGCCGAACACCGCCTGGAGGCGTGGCTTAGCGACCTGGGTTTTGTAAAAATAACCTGAGCCCACCTATAAAAAGCCGCTGACCTCGCACGGAGATGGAAATTTCCGACGCATCTGGAGACGTCCTGAGATCTGCGAGCCGGCCTTTCCGCGTGGCCCCGGCTGGAGCCTTGGACCCGAGCCCCGTCAGCCACAGTCCCCACCCCCCCCTCCACGCCGTCACCGAGAGGGGGCTCTGGCTGCCATCAGCTTCAGGTCTGCACCGGACCCTGCTCTTCACGGAGTGGGAAGCGCTCTCCGGAGCCACGGCAGAGCCGGAAGGCAGGAGCCGCCGAGCGTGGACCCGGCTCCCGGCGGCCGGCTGGGGCCCTCGGGGCAGCCGCCTGCTGCCCGGGGAGCCTGGGGGAGGAGCTGGGGTCTAACAGGGGGTGCTGGCCTGGGCGGCAGGGTCAGCACGTCCTCTCCAGCGTCCCTCTCGGTGCCTGTGGTTGGGGTCACACACACACACACACACACACACACACACACACTTGCTTCCTGGGTGTGAGGCCTGGTGACAGCCCTTCCCAGCTGGGAGGCCGCTAAACCTCTCTGTGCCTCCGTTTCCTCTTTGTGAAGTGGGCGTGATGGTGTCTGTGCCTCTTAGGGGCTTTAGGAGGGTTACGTGATGATAGAGTTCACGCAAACCGGGTAGACCTGTGCCTGGAACAGAGCGGACAAGACGGAGGAAACGTCAGGGTGGCAGGGGCTGTGAGGACGACAGATCAGGGGACGGGAAACCCCACCTTCAGGGCTCATTGTGGGGGGGGGGGGACATGTGAGCTGAGCGAGGAGTGAGGAGGGACCCGCGGGCACCGAGGGGAAGGAACAGTGTGTTGGGCAGAAGGAACAGCCAGTGTGAAGGCTCAGAGGCGAGAAGGAGCGAGGCTTCGAGGACCAGAAGGAAGAGGCCGGAGTGGCTGGGGCAGAGCAGCGAGGACCAGCGCTGAGGCCGAGAGGGAGCGGGGCCCGGGCGCCCGGAGGTGTTTGCGTGTGAAGCGCTGAGAGGCGAGGGGAGGGTCTGCAGCCGGAGGGAGATGACGGACACGGGGGCGAAGGGACTGACCCGTCCTGCGCGGGAGGGACCGTCCCGCAGCTCCGGGGGCCTGGTCCCGGCGGGAAAGGGCAGGCGGCAGCGGCCGGGTCTCGGCCTCCAGGGGACAGGTCTCCGTTACCCAGCACAGCCCGGGGAGACAGACGGGGACCTGAAGGTCAGCACGGAGGTCCCGGGGGCTCAGACACTGGGGAGGGGGGGCCGGGACCCCCAAAGTCTCTCCACAACTCCCCCAGGCAGGGCCCGGAGGAGAGCTGGGTCGGATGGACAGACTTAGCCAGGAAATGGGGCAGATGCCCCAGGAAGAGGTCAGGGGTCAGGGGCCAGAGGTCAGAGGTAGTACACTTTATTGACTGGGTTCTCCCAACATTCTGCAACCTCCCTGCAAAGCCAGACCCTGGACTCTGCCACCGTCCCACTCACCGATCAGGGCAGAGATGGGCCTCCCAGACAGCAAGGGGCCCGGGGTGGGGTGGGGGGGCAGGCGGGGCGGCCGGCTGGGGGAGTGGGGGCGGGGCTGACGCCGGGCGCTGGGCCGGAGTCACCCCGAGGCTTCGCCGGGCCCGGCGCCCCTCACTCCCCCAGTTAAGGTTCGCAGTGGTTCACAGTGAGGCTGGCAGCACTGGGCGGGCAGCGGGCATCCTCCCACCCACCCCGGGCCCGACTCACAAAGCTGGGAGAGGGAGGGATGAGGCAATGGGTAGAGGCCTAGCTCCCCCCTGACCTCCCCCAGGCTACGAGGAGCGTCACTCATTCCATGGCTCAGAAGCTTCTAGAACATCTCAGTGACCTTGCCCACCACGACGCCCCATGAGAAACTGTTTTTTTAAACCTGGGGGTTGACCAGGGACCATCCAGCCGAACGGTGCCGGCCCGGTGAGATCCTGGTGTGGCGAGGTGCCGCTGCCTTTGCCTCGGAGACCAGGTGGAGAGACCCGTGGGCCGGCGGTGGCCAGGGGCCACAGGGGGCATAGGGGCCACGGGGGCCACAGGGGGCACGGGAGCCACGGGGGCCACGGGGCACGGGGGCCAGGACAAGAAGTAGGAAGCAGTGACACGGGGTGTGGCCGGCTGCCCGCCGGGTCCGTGGACCTGGGCTCCAAGGGCTGCTCTCTGCGGGCACCTCTGCCAAGCGGGCATCGGGCGGGCGGGCGGTCAGGCCTCGCTGTGGCCGGCCGCGCGGTCCAGGGTGGGCTCGAGCCCCAGCATCTGGCGCTGCACCAGCTTGGCGTAGAGGCCGCCCTGGGCCAGCAGCTGCTGGTGGGTGCCCTGCTGCACCACGCGGCCCTTGTCCAGCACCACAATGCAGTGCGCCCGCTCCACCGTGCTCAGCCGGTGCGCGATGATGAGCACCGTGTGCTGCTGCAGGGTGCCATGGATGGCGCGCTGGATCTGCGGAGACAGGGCGGCTGGCGGGCGGCCACCCAGCACCCGCCTCCTCCCGCCTCCTCCCCCTCCTCCCCGCTTCTCCTCACTCTTCCTCCCTCCTCCTCCCTCCTCCTCCCTCCTCCTCCCTCCTTCTCCCTCCTCTTCCCCCCTCCTCCCTCCTCCCTCCTCCTCCTGCCTCCTCCCCCTTCTCCCTGCTTCTCCTCACTCTTCCTCCCTCCTCCTCCCTCCTTCTCCCTCCTCCTCCTGCCTCCTCCCCCTCCTCCCCCCTTCTCCTCACTCTTCCTCCCTCCTTCTCCCTCCTTCCCCCTCCTCCTCACTCTTCCTCCCTCCTTCTCCCTCCTCCCGCCTCCTCCCTCCTCCCTCCTCCTCCCCGGGCCCCGACTGCCCCCTGTGGTGCACTCTGTGGATTTTGACAAATGGAGAAAGTTGTGTGTCTGCCATAAGGTGACCAGAAGTCCCGCTTTTGGGGGGACAGTCTTGATTTTTAACAATTTGTCTCGCCCCCCAAGATGGAAACACCATGGGGGCCTGGGAATTTGACCGGCCAGTCACTCCGCCACGGTGACCCCGGTGCCTGGCTCGGCGCCCGGCGCTCGGGAGGAGCACAGTGAGTACCGGCCCGGCCCTCGCCGGTATGGCTCAGTGGATAGAGCATCGGCCCGTGAACTGAAGGGTCCCGGGTTCCATTCTGGTCAAGGGCATGTACTCCGGGTGCAGACTCCACCCCGGCCATGGTTGGGCGCGTGCAGGAGGCAGCCAATTGATGTGTGTCTCTCTCTCTGTCTCTCCTCCTTTCCACTCTCTCTAAAAGCCAATGGGAAAATATCCTCAGGTGAGAATTTAAAAAATAAAGAAATACTGGCAATTAACCACCCCATGGGGAGATGAGGGCTCTCAAAACCGAAATGGCCCTGGCCGGTGCGGCCCAGGTGGCTGGGCGCTGTCCCCGCACGGACAGGTCAGCGGCTGGATCTGGGTCAGAGCACACGCCTGAGCTGTGGCCTCCAGCCCCGGAGGGGGCGTGCGGGAGGCAGCCGGCCGGTTTCTCTCTCTCACATCCATGTTTCTCTCTCTCCCTTCCATTCCTCTCTCTCTCTAAAAACAAATATAAACATTAAAACACACAGAATGCCCCAGCCTAGGAAGCTGATGGTCTGGGGGAGCCCCTGTGCACCCGCAAGCCCTTCCTAGGACCGCCCCCCACCTCCTACCCCCCCCCCCCCGTCCCCCCTCAGCTCACCAGGAACTCGCTCTCCGCGTCCAGCGCGCTGGTGGCCTCGTCCAGGATGAGCACGGGCGGCTTCCGCACCAGGGCCCGGGCCATGGCCACGCGCTGCTTCTGGCCCCCGGACAGCTGGGCGCCCTTCTCCCCGGTCTCTGTGAGGAGGGGCGCGGGGACGGCGGGCGGGGGTGAGGCCGGCAGCCTGCGGAGCTGGAAGGCCCGGCCTCGCTTCCCCTGCGCCGGGGACAAGGGCGGTGACCGGGGCCGCCGGCTGGGACCGCCGGCCGTTCACACTCACAAAAGGGCCCTCGCCGGTGTGGCTCAGTGGATAGAGTGTCGGCCTGTGGACCAAAGGGTCCTGGGTTCAATTCCAGTCAAGGGCACGCGCCTCGGGTTACAGGCTCCTCCCTGGCCCGGGCTCTGGTCGGGGCTCCTGCACAAGGCAACTAATCGATGTGTTTCTCTCCCATTGATGTTTCTTTCTCCCCCCTACTTTCTCTAAAAAATCAATGGAAAAATATCCTTGGGTGAATGAAGATTAACAAAAAGCCAAAACAAAAACAAAATAAACAAACACAAACACACAAAAGGGTGCTCTCCCTCCTTTGAGAGGCATGCAAATTCCGATGGCATGCAAATGGCACCAAGATAATAATTTTCACCCATCCATTCGGCAAAAACCCAAATGTTTGCAAATCCACTGTGCTGGTGCGGCCGTGGAGAAACAGACACCCCCCATCTCCCTGGGGGACCCCCACCGCTCCAATAATGGCTGCAGGGCACACGTCTCTGTCTGTCAGCTGCTACTGAGCGGGCCTGTGAGGCCCAGCCACAGTGCACAGCCCTCCGGTCAGCGGACCCCGCGCCCCCACCCGAGAGCAGCGTGCCCAGGCCCGGGCGCACAGGCGCAGGTTGTGTGTGAGACCCATGGCATATTATTGCAAAAAGCCCACAAGGACCAGAAAACCTACACAGGTGTCCACCAATAGGAAATGGAATAAATTATGTATTAAGTAAAATATTATAAAACTCATATGCTGGAATACTATGCAGCTGTTTAAAAAAAAAAGAACACAGCCGAGACCGGTTTGGCTCAATGGATAGAGCGTCGGCTTGGGGACTGAAAGGTCCCGGGTTCGATTCCGGTCAAGGGCATGTACCTTGGTTGCGGGCATATCCCCAGTAGGGGGTGTGCAAGAGGCAGCTGATCGATGACTCTCTCTCATCGATGTTTCTAACTCTCTATCTCTCTCCCTTCCTCTCTGTACAAAAATCAATAAAATATATTTAAAAAAAAAAAAAAATAAAAAAAAAAAATAAAAAAAAATAAAAAAAAAGAACACAAAATTCCAAGGAAGTAGGAAGAAGGGAATAATAAAGATCAGAGTGGAAGTAAACGAAATGGAGACTTATAAAAACAACAACAGCTGAAACCGGTTTGGCTCAGTGGATAGAGCGTCGGCCTGTGGACTGAAGGGTCCCGGGTTCGATTTTGGACAAGGGCATGTACCTTGGTTGCGGGCACATCCCCAGTGGGGGTGTGCAGGAAGCAGCTGATTGATGTTTTTCTCTCATCGATGTTTCTAACTTCGTCATCTAAGTTCCTTCCTCTCTGTAAAAAAATCAATAAAATATATTTTATTTAAAAAAAATATATATTTTATTGATTTTTTATAGAGAGGAAGAGAGAGGGATAGAGAACTAGAAACATCGATGAGAGTCAGCGATCAGCCGCCTCCTGCGCACCCCCCACTGGGGATGTGCCCGCAACCAAGGTACATGCCCTTGACCGGAATCGAACCCAGGACCCTTCAGTCCACAGGCCGACGCTCCATCCACTGAACCAAACCGGTTTCGGCAATAAAATATATTTTAAAAAAACAACAACGAAACAGGCAAGGTCAATGACATTAAGAGATAGATCTTGGAAAAGATAAACAAAATTGATAACCCTTTAGCCAGACTCATTAAAAAAAAAAAAAAAAGAGAGAGAGAGTGAGTGCAAATAAATAAAATCAGAAGTGAAAGAGAAGTTACAACTGACCTCATTAAAGAATACCAGGAACACCCAGAAACCGATACAGAATTAAAAACAAAACAACAACAACAAAAAAACACCCTATGCCCGGCTGGCATGCCTCAGTGGTGGAGTGTTGACCTATGAACCAGGAGATCAGAGTTCGATTCCCATTCAGGGCACAAGCTTGGGTTTTGGGCTTGATCCTCAGGGCAGAGGCAGCCAATTCTCTCTCATCACTGATGATTCCATCCCTCTCTTCCTCTCCCTTCCTCTCTAAAATAAAAACAAACATGTTTTTTTAAAAAAAAGAAAGTGGTGGCACATATGTGACGTGAACCTCGCCTGCGATAATAAAGACAGCTGGCAGGGGCCCCGGGTGGCTCAGGGGTCACGCCCCGGGGGGGCCCGCCCAGGGGGGGGTACCTGTGTTGTAGCCGTCCTGCAGCTCCATGATGAAGCCGTGGGCATTGGCCTTCTGCGCTGCCTCCACCACCATCTCGAAGGGCACGGTGGGCAGGCCGTAGGAGATGTTTTCCGTGATGGAGCGGGCGAACAGCACCGGTTCCTGGCTCACCAGGGAGATCTGCAAAAGAGGAGGAAGAAGAGGAGGGAGGGAGGGCACCTGAGAAGCCGGGACCTTGCAGCCAGCTGTGACCAGCAGCCTCGCCAGCCCCGGCCAGCTGGCTGATGCCAGGGGTCTCAGGCCTGAAATCTGATCAGGGCCTGCTCTGGCTCTGCACTCGGCTGCCTCTCTCTCTCTTCCTTCCCAACCATGGAGTCTGTCTTCTGCACGGGCCTGGGCCTCCGGGGAAACCTGGGACTCTCGTCACTGCCGGTGTGTGTGAAGGGGTATGACCAGCCCGACGGCAGGAACGAAGGACGGCATGCCTGTGTGCATGGGGACACGGACTCGGCTGCCCACGATAGTGCTGCTGGTACCAGTCAAAACGGGAAATAACCCTAATATCCTCCACAGGCAGAACGCAGAGACCGATTGTGACATGTTTACACGTGGATTATCATCCAGTCACTGTAGTGAATGAACTACAACCAGAGCCTCAGCCTGACGACTCCCAATAGCCTCGAGGGAAGCAGCAAGACACGGGTGCATCACGCGCTGTGATCCCGGTCCCCCCCCCCCCCCCCCCCCGGCTCCAAGGGCCCTTCGGCTGCCGCCATCACCTGTTTCCTGAGCCCACGCAGCCCAGCTGGCTCACTTTTCCTACCTGGGTGCCTTCTTCTTCTTTTTTTTTTAAATCAATAAGTTTTTTATTGATTTTTAGAGAGGAAAGGAGCAGGATAGAGAAACATTAGCCGAAACCAGTTTGGCTCAATGGATTGAGCGTCGGCCTGCGGACTGAAGGGTCCCGGGTTCGATTCCGGTCAAGGGCATGTACCTTGGTTGCGGACATATCCACAGTAGGGGGTGTGCAAGAGGCAGCTGATCGATGACTCCCATACTCTTCTGGCTCTCTATCTCTCTCCCTTCCTCTCTGTACAAAAATCAATAAAATATATTTTTAAAAATAAAGAGAGAGAGAGAAACATTAATGAAACTTCCAATATAGATCAGCTGCCTTTGGCACACCCCCCACTGGGGCTGGAGCCCATAACCTGATCGTGTGCCCTGACCCTGATGCTCAACCACTGTGCCACGCTGGCCAGGGCCTCTGTGGTTTTCTAAAGAAACTTTTGCTTCTGTTTGAAAAAGACAATTATGACCCTGAAGGTGGTGAGATGTTGCTCTAAGAGGGGGCCTCTGGAGGGCAGGGTGTCCTCGCCTTGACCTGGGCAGTGTTACATTGGTGACGAGTCCTTGAGTAAGGTGACCAGATGTCCCGCTTTTGGTGGGACTGAATCAGGACTTTTTTTTTATATATATTTTTTTTATTTTATTGAGTTTTTTAAATTGATTTTTCTTACAGAGAGGAAGGGAGAAGGATAGAGAGCCAGAAACGTCCATGAGAGAGAAACACCGACCAGCTGCCTCTTGCACACCCCTTTCTGGGGATGTGCCCGCAACCAAGGTACGTGCCCTTGACCGGAATCGAACCCGGGATCTTTCAGTTCGCAGACCGACAAGGCTCTATCCACTGAGCCAAACCGGTTTTGGCTGAATCGGGACTTTTAAAAAAAACGCTGCGGGACGCGGGGCAAATTGTTAAAAGATCGGGACTGTCCCGCCAAAAGCGGGGCGTCTGGGCACCTTATCCTCGAGCTGCACCCGTCGCCCCTCTGCTCCCGAGGGAGCGGCGGGGACGCGGGAGGGCGGAGGGGCCGGCGAGGCCGCCACCTACCACGCGGTGCAGGAACTTGTGGTCGTAGGCGCCGATGGGCTTCCCGTCCAGCAGCACGCGGCCGCCCTCCAGCGGGTAGAAGTTCTCCAGGACGTGCACGCAGGAGCTCTTCCCGCTGCCCGAGGGCCCCACCAGCGCCGTCACCTTCCCCGGGCACAGGCTGAAGGAGACGTCCTGCGGGGACACGCAGGCGCGGTGGGGCCCCGGCGCGGGCGCTCGCACCCTGTGCTGCGGTCCGCACCGCGGGCCCCCGGGACGCTCTCCCCCCAGGCCCGCGGGCTCCCGGGACGCTCCCCCCCCAGGCCCGCGGGCCCCCGGGACGCTCCCCCCCCCAGCCCCGCGGGCCCGCGGGACGCTCTACCCCCAGCCCCGCGGGCTCCCGGGACGCTCTGCCCCCAGGACCGCGGGCTCCCGGGACGCTCCCCCCCAGGCCCGCGGGCCCCCGGGACGCTCCCCCCCCAGGACCGCGGGCCCCCGGGACGCTCTCCCCCCAGGACCGCGGGCCCCCGGGACGCTCCCCCCCCAGGACCGCGGGCCCCCGGGACGCTCTCCCCCCAGGACCGCGGGCTCCCGGGACGCTCTTCCCCCCCCCCCCCCCCCCGACCGCGGGCCCCCGGGACGCTCTCCCCCCAGGATCCGGGAGGCGGGAGAGGATGACGGGGGCAGGCTGCGCCCCCCTCACCTGCAGGACTTTGGTGTGGGGCCGGGTGCGGTAGGTGAAGGTCACGTTCTCGAAGTCCACGCGGCCCTCCACGTGGTCGGGGGCCAGGCTCCCGTCGTGCACCATGGTTGGCTGCCGGTCGATGAACTCGAAGACCTTCTCGGCGGCCCCCACGCCCTGCATCAGGCCGCTGTAGACGGAGCCCACGGACTGCGGGGGAGGACACGTCCTGTCCGGCCGACCCACTCCGGGACCCCCGCCCGCCCGCCCGCCCGCGGTGCCGGGGAAGAGCGAGGGCACAGCACCCACCCCGAGGGGTGGAGGGAGGCCCCCCTGCGAGTTCATGACTCGGACAAACGAGGACGGGAGGAGCCCGTACTGATCGGTGAGGAGCCTCAGCGCCGCCCTGCAGGGGGGTGACCACCCCGGAGGAGGGGAGGGAGGCAGAGAAGGAACCAAAAGCCAGGATGTGGCGAGCTGGAAATGGACCCTTCCTCCTTCAGCTGCCACAGGGTCAGAGACATTTCAATTAAAAAAAGGGGGGGTGTCTTAATTTATACTACACATCTCCTTGGGTTAAAAAAAAAAAAAATTTAAATATATACACTAAGCCCTGGCTGGTTTGGCTCAGTGGACAGAGCATCAGCCTTCAGACTGAAGGGTTCCGGGTTCGATTCCAGTCAAGGACACATGCCCAGGTTGCGGGCTCGATCCCCAGTGTGGGGCATGCAGAAGGCAGCCGATCAATGATTCTCTCTCATTATTGATGTTTCTATCTCCCTCTCCCTTACTCTCTGATATATATATATCATATATATCAATAAATATATATGAGATATATATATATATATACACACACACACACACACACACACCCTCAGTGGCCAGATTATTATGATCTCTGAACGCATAATAATCTGGCCACTCGTGTGTGTGTGTGTGTGTGTGTGTATGTGTGTGCGTGTGTGTGTGTGTGTTAGAAGACTGGTGCATGAATTCGTGCATGGGTGGGGTCCGGCCAGGGGGAGGGGACATGGGCAGTTGTCCGCCCTGTCTGCTGGTCGAACTCCTGGTCGAGGGGACAATTTGCATATTAGCCTCTGATCACATAGGATATACCCGGAGTGGCCAGATGATGATGCGTTCAGAGACCACCATCGTCTGGCCGCTCCGTGTGTGTAAACGTCAACGATAATGACGGTCTGTGGGTGCTTCGGGTAGGCTGCCATTATGTCCTCTGTGCTGAGGAGGAGACGGAGGCACAGACACCTCCAGGGACTTCCCCCAGGCCACCCAGCCCTCTCCCGCCGGCACCCGGCCCCACGCCGGCCCCTCACCTCCATGCAGTCCCCCAGGACGAACTCGTAGATGATGAAGGAGATGAGGTTGCCGCTGGTCATCTGCCCCGAGATGACGAGGTGGCCGCCGTAGTAGAGGATGCTGACCTGGACCACCAGCAGCGTGAGCTGCGGGGGGTGGGGGCGTTGGTCAGGGCAGGAGGGGAAGGGCTTGGTTTACACCTTCCCAGGGCCCCATTCCCCAGCCCCGGCTGCAGGGGGCGGGGAGGGGTGCCTGGGCCCTGCACTCCCCCTACGCTGAGCCCCAGCCAGCAGTGCCCTCCCACAGGCCAGGTGCCCGCCTGTCACTCACGCCCTCCCCCCTCCCTCCTATGGAGTTTTCCCTGCCAAGGTCCCCAGCTGGGGCTGGCCGCGGGCCCGGCGGAGAACAGGGCTTTCTTTGTGAGTCCCTGGCACACACACACACCGGACCCCAGCCCTCCGCTCGGCGAGCGGGAGCCGTCAGCCCTCGTCCTCACCGGGCGGGCAGGGCACGGGCCCGCGAGGCTGAGCCCACGGAGCGAGCCAGGCCTCCCAGGGCAGCGGGGTCTGTTTCCTCCCCCGCAGCAGGCTCCCCAAAGAGGGAGCTGTCCCAGCACCCCCGCCCCACCCCCACCCCCACCCCCACCCGGCCCAGCGCCTGGGCTGTTTCTCGGGGTTGGGGGGGGGGGGGGGAGTGGAGACCGCAGCCCTGACCACCAGTCAGCCCCACGGGCACCCTGCCTCGGGGAGGGGAGGAGGGAGGAGGCTCCGCCAAGCAGAGTTTCAGGCCCTTCCCTTCTGGCTCCTCCTTCCCTCGAACCCCAAACCCTCCTCTCCCCTCGCCCAGCTGTTCCCCCGACAGCCCTGGCTGGCCTTGGGGTGACTCTGGCCCTGGCAGGGCGCTCCCCGGCTGAGAAGAGAGCTCGGCCCTGGACCCCACGGGCAGGGGCGGCCAGATCTCCGTGGGGACATCCCCGGAGGCTGCGTTCCTTCCTAGGCAGCGTCTCGTGCACAGGCAGAGCGCGGGACCGGGGGAGAGTCTCCTGCGAACGGCCCGCCACCCCTGCGGGGACCCCGCTGACGTCCGGAGCGGGCCCCGTGGGCACGCACCCCGCTGCCCCAGACGTAGTAGGTGTAGGCGGCCGCCTCCTTCCGGTTGAGCTTGTACACCTGCTGCAGCTTCTGCGCGTACACCTCGGCCTCCGCCTCCTCGTTGGCGAAGCTGCGCACGGTCTTCATGGCGCTGATGGTCTCCTCGGCCGTGGTGCTGGCGCGGGCCAGCGCGTTCTGCACCTCCTTGGAGAGCCTCTGTGGACGGGGCGGGGAGGGGGCGGGAGGAGCCCCCACAGGGACACTGTCACCACCAACCGGCCGGAGCCGGGACCTCTGCCTTAGTTGAGGGGAGCGCTCTGCAGGGCGTCCCGGACCGATGGGTAGGACTGAGACCCCTCTCCCCCCTCCGTCCGGCCTGATTGTTTGGACCCAGAGAACAGGCCGAGGCCCGGCCGGCCGGTGGGCTCAATGGCTGAGCATCGAGCCAGGAACCAGGAGCCAGGAGGTCAAGGTCAGGGCACATGTCTGGGTTGCGGGTTTGATCCCCAGTAGGGGGCGCGCAAGAGGCAGCCGATCAATGATTTTTCTCTCATTGGTGCTTCTATGTTTCTATTTCTCTCTCCCCCCTCTCCCTTCCTCTCTGAAATCTATAAAAATACATATTTGTTGAAATACGCCATTGACATCATCAACGTACGGTGAGTCACGTGAGAGCCTGAGGGTGGCACGGCGGTGCCAGAACTGCCAGCTGAGCCCTAGCCAGCGTGGCTCAGTGGATAGAGCATCGGCCTGTGGACTGAAAGGTCCCGGGTTCGATTCCGGTCAAGGGCGTGTACCTTGGTTGCGGGCGCGTCCCACAAGGAGTGCAGGAGGCAGCGGATCGATGTTTCTCTCTCATTGGTATTTCTAACTCTCTATCCCTCTCCCTTCCGCTCTATATAAAATCAATAAAATATATATATTATAAGAACTGCCCGCTGAGTTCCAGGTGGCGGCAGAGGGCGCGGGCTAGAACGTCCGCCGGTGTCGTGTGCGGAGGGCACAGATGGCTGAGACGCGGTCCCCGGTGCGTGACCCCAGGCTGCTGCCCGTGGAGGCTCTGGAAGGGGACCCTGGGCAGGGCTGCTCGGGCTTCGCCAGAGTCATCACACGGGGCTTCTCACCCCGGCGGGACCGGCACGGGCCTGTCCTGCGACCTCTGAGTCAGCCCCGCGGTCAGCGCCTGCAGGGCAGTGCCCGAGTCACGCCTGGCTGAGGGCGGTGCGTGTGGCTTTGGGCGATGACGCGGAGGCTGAATTCGCACGTCAGGTGCGTCAGGTGCGCGGAGCAGGCCGCAGACAGAGCGCCCTGCGGCTCCGCGGACTGAGCCTGGGCGAGGCCGAAGGTGTGCACAGGCCGGCTGCTGGGCGGCGGTTCCGGCCTGTCCTGGGGGCTGGGGCCGGCGGGGAGGCAGGAAGGGCGGGGTGGGGAGCTCAGGAAGCAGCTGGCTCCAGCTCCAGCTCCAGCTCCAGCCAGCGGGCGTATTTACTCTTTCTGCTCAGCGAGGGTTACAGGGAGGCCCGCGAGCCAGACGGCGGACGCGAGGGCCCTCCTGAGGGGAGGTGGGTCTGGGGAAGGGGCTCCTGGAGGAGCTGGCCTCGGGTCACAGACGCCAGGGGCTCCTGCGAGCTGCTCCGGATCAGAGCCCTCTGCTCAGGAGCACAGCCCGCTCAGGCCTGGGCCCCTGGGGCAGGGCCCTCTGCTGCCGTCTGAACCCAGCCCGGGTCCCTGAGTGCTCTGGGCACCCCCCCATGTGGGAAGCAGAGGACGGGGAGCCAGGAGCCTGGCCCCCAAAACCACCCTCCTGGCAGAGGCGGTGCCAGGGGCCGCGGGGAGGGACAGCAGCCTGCCCATGCCTGCACGTGGGCAAGGGAACCGCGCCACCCGCGCACGACAGATGCTCGACGGGAGGAGAGCGACCTTTGCACTCAGAGCGAGAACGGAGCCCTCACAGAGGCCCGCATCTGGCCCAGCCTCTCCCTGCCCCCGTTTCCCTCCCTCTCTCCCTCCCTCCCTCTTCCCTCCCTCCCTCCTTCCCTCCCTCCCTCCCTCCCTCCCTCCCTCCCTCCTTCCCTCCTTCCTCCTTCCTCTCCCTCCCTCCTTCCCTCTTTCCCTTCTTCCCTCCCTCCCTCCTTCCCTCCCTCCCTTCCTCTCTCCCTCCTTCCCTCCTTCCCTTCCTCTCCCTCCCTCCTTCCCTCCCTCCCTCCCTCCTTCCCTCTTTCCCTTCTTCCCTCCCTCCCTCCTTCCCTCCCTCCCTTCCTCTCTCCCTCCTTCCCTCCTTCCCTTCCTCTCCCTCCCTCCTTCCCTCCCTCCCTCCCTCCTTCCCTCTTTCCCTCCTTCCCTCCCTCCCTCCTTCCCTCCCTCCCTTCCTCTCTTCTTCCTTCCCTCCCTTTTTTCTTCCCTCCCTCCCTCCCTCCTTCCCTCTCTGCCTTCCTCTCCCTCCTTCCCTCCCTCCCTCCCTCCCTCCTTCCCTCTTTCCCTTCTTCCCTCCCTCCTTCCCTCCCTCCCTTCCTCTCTCCCTCCTTCCCTTCCTCTCTCCCTCCTTCCCTCCCTTCTTCCCTCCCTCCCTCCTTCCTTCCCTCCCTTCCTCCCTCCCTCCCTCTCTCCCTCCCTCCCTCCCTCAGGCTCCCGCCTCCCTGAGACTCCTCTGAGGCATGCTTCCACCCCAGGCCTTTGCACAGATGGCCGACATTGATTTCCGAGCGTAAAGGGGAAGGGGAGAGAGAGATAGAAGCATCAATGATGAGAGAGCATCATTGATCTGCTGCCTCCCGTACGCCCCACACTGGGGATGGAGCCCGCCACCTGGGCATGTGCCCTGACCGGGAATCGAACCCTGACCTCCCTGTTCACAGGCCCCGACACTCGCCACTGAGCCATGGGGCCGGGCGAGACAGCTGACTTTTGGACTCACATGTCACCTTCTCAGAAAGACCTACCCTGTTTCCCCGGAAATAAGACAGTGTCTTATATTATTTTTTTTCTCCCAACGTTGCGCTAGGTCTTATTTTCGGGGGATGTCTTATTTTCGGGGAAACACGGTAGTTAAAGCTGCAGCTGCCCCCAGCCCCTCTCCTCCCTTCGCCGTTCCCTCCGTTACCACCCTGCGTGTTATCATGACGGCGGCCGCGGGCCCTCGGTGCCCCCCTGAGGGGGGCCGTGTCTGCCCGTCAGTGCGGTGGGTGCCCGTGAAGCGTCTATGGGCTGGCACGTCCCCCGCCGGCCCCACGGGGCCCCCCGGCGCCGCCGCGGCCGCCTACCTTGTAGTACTTGCCGTAGACGTCGGACACCATCATGATGATGGGGAAGCCCATGAAGGTGACGAGGGAGAGCTGCCATGAGAGGCTGAACATGAAGACCACCACGCCCGCGATCTTGACTGCGTTCCGCAGGAACACGTTGATGTTCTGGGAGACCAGGTCGCTGACCATGGTGGTGTCCGAGGTGAGGCGGGAGATGAGGTCGCCTGCAACACGGGCAGTCAGCGCGCTGCCGCCCCGGGGCCTCCGGGGGGGGGGGGGGGGAGGAACTGGGGGGGCGGGGGCAGGGACACTTAGGGGAGGCACCGGGGAGCCTGGGGGGCCGGGAAGATGACTCAGTGCCCCCTCGAGGGCTGCTCTGAGCCCAGCCCCTGACACCAGCACTTTGTGCGTCAGACCCTCAGCACAGAGGAGGGACTGAGACCCGGGGAGTGCTTGCTCAGCGCCGTCCCTGGAGGGGGCGGCTGCCTGCTTCCCTCGGACACGGAAATAACCAGCCGGGCTGCAGAGGGAGGAGCGGAGGCCTGCACCCGTTGGGTGGCTACTCCTATTGTGCCCATTTTAGAGATGAGAATACAGAGGCCCAGGGGTCGTTAGCGAGCGGTGGAACCAGGTCTTGGACGTAGGCCGGTCAGTCTCAGAGACAGTGATCTGGGCCGGATGGTGCACTGCTCTGCCCCGTAGCCCCGCTTATTTACCCCCACCTCACTCACCCCCCGTCACTCACCCCCCCTCACTCACCCCCCCTCGCTCACCCCCCCTCACTCACCTCCCCTCACTCACCCCCCCTCGCTCACCCCCCCTCGCTCACCCCCCCTCGCTCACCCCCCTCGCTCACCCCCCTCGCTCACCCCCCCTCGCTCACCCCCTCGCTCACCCCCTCGCTCACCCCCCTCGCTCACCCCCCTCGCTCACCCCCCCTCGCTCACCCCCTCGCTCACCTCCCCTCGCTCACCTCCCTCGCTCACCCCCTCACTCACCCCCCTCACTCACCCCACCTCGCTCACCCCACCTCGCTCACCCCCTCGCCCCCCTTACTCACCCCCCTTACTCACACCCTCCCTCACACCTCCCCGCTCCCCACTCCCCACTCCCCCGCTCACCTCCCCTTGCTCACCCCCCTCGCTCACCCCCCCACTCACCCCCCCTCACTCACCCCTCTCATTCACCCCCCACCCCACCTCGCTCACCCCCCCTTGCTCATCCCCCTCACTCACCCCCCCTCACTCACCCCCTCACTCACCCCCATCGCTCACCCCCCTCATTCACCCGCCTCGCTCACCCCCCCTCGCTCACTCCCCCCTCGCTCACCCCCCATCACTCACCCCGGGATCTGGGCCCTGCCGGCCGCAGGCCTGGGTGGCAGTGGCAAGCCAGGCCTTGGCTGCTGCAGGGACCTCGGTGGCCTGGCCGGGGACCACAGTGGCCACAGCTCACACCAGAGCCTCAGCCAGCAGGCCGGCCCCCGGGCCTGAGCCCGCCTCCCGGGACGATGCCACTGGAACTGGGCGGCGGGAAATGCCAGCATCGCCGAGACCACAAACGTGCCGGTCTGCTTTCTCAGCAGGAGGCAAGCCCACCCGGCACAGCCCGGCCCCAGGCCCCAGGCCCCCCAGGTCCCCCCGGCCCTCAGGCCCCCCAGGCCCCCCAGGCCTCCCAGGTCCCAGGCCCCCCAGATCCCCAGGCCCCCCCGGCCCCAGGCCCCAGGCCCCCCAGGTCCCCCCAGGCCCCCCAGGCCCTCCAGGTCCCCCGGCCCCCAGGCCCCCCAGACCCCCCCCCGGCCCCAGGCCCCCCGGCCCCAGGCCCCAGGCCCCCCGGCCCCCAGGCCCCCCGGCCCCCAGGCCCCCCGGCCCCCAGGCCCCCCGGCCCCCCGGCCCCCAGGCCCCCCGGCCCCCGGCCCCCAGGCCCCCAGGCCCCCCGGCCCCAGGCCCCCAGGCCCCCCGGCCCCCAGGCCCCCCGGCCCCCGGCCCCCAGGCCCCCAGGCCCCCCGGCCCCAGGCCCCAGGCCCCCCGGCCCCCAGGCCCCCCGGCCCCAGGCCCCCCGGCCCCCAGGCCCCCCGGCCCCCAGGCCCCCCGGCCCCCAGGCCCCCCGGCCCCCGGCCCCCAGGCCCCCAGGCCCCCCGGCCCCAGGCCCCCAGGCCCCCCGGCCCCAGGCCCCCAGGCCCCCCGGCCCCCAGGCCCCCCGGCCCCAGGCCCCAGGCCCCCCGGCCCCCAGGCCCCCCGGCCCCCAGGCCCCCCGGCCCCAGGCCCCCAGGCCCCCCGGCCCCAGGCCCCCAGGCCCCCCGGCCCCCAGGCCCCCCGGCCCCCGGCCCCCAGGCCCCCCGGCCCCCAGGCCCCCCGGCCCCAGGCCCCCAGGCCCCCAGGCCCCCAGGCCCCAGGCCCCCCCGGCCCCCCGGCCCCAGGCCCCCAGGCCCCCCGGCCCCCAGGTCCCAGGCCCCCCGGCCCCCCGGCCCCAGGCCCCCGGCCCCCCGGCCCCCAGGCCCCCCGGCCCCCAGGCCCCCCGGCCCCAGGCCCCCAGGCCCCCCGGCCCCCAGGTCCCAGGCCCCCCGGCCCCCCGGCCCCAGGCCCCCGGCCCCCCGGCCCCCGGCCCCCCGGCCCCCCGGCCCCCCGGCCCCCCGGCCCCCAGGCCCCCAGGCCCCCCGGCCCCCAGGCCCCCGGCCCCCCGGCCCCCCGGCCCCCCGGCCCCCGGCCCCCAGGCCCCCAGGCCCCCCGGCCCCCAGGCCCCCGGTCCCCAGGCCCCCAGGCCCCCCGGCCCCCAGGCCCCCGGCCCCCCGGCCCCCCGGCCCCCCGGCCCCCCGGCCCCCCGGCCCCCCGGCCCCCCGGCCCCCAGGCCCCCAGGCCCCCCCGGCCCCAGGCCCCAGGCAGCCCACCTGTCCGGTTCTCGTCAAAGAAGCTCGTCTCCTGAGACACCAGCGAGCGGAAGAGGCGGTTCCGGAGGCGAACGTTCAGTCTGGCAAATATGAGGGTGAAGATGCCGCCCCGAATACCTGCGGCAAATGAGCTGATTGCAGATAAGAGATGTTATACATGGCACGCCGTCCTTCCGGCACCCCCCACCCCGCCCGCCCCGCTGCTGGCAGGCGGCCCACCCTGGCCCTCTCCCAGGGCTCCGCCCCCGCGGGAGAGCGAAGGGGGCTGGCTTCTGGGGGCAAGGACCGGACCCCTCGAGGGCGCACGGCTGGCCTGGGAGACCAGACGGGGCAGCCCTGGAGGAGGGTGTGGCTCAGCCACATGGACATGGGTGCTGAGCCACTCAGCTGTTGGTTACTATGGTGACCAGCAGAGGGACGGCCCTCCAGCAGCGTTCCTGGGGCCCCTAGGCTCATTCCCCTTCCCCCCAGGAGCTGCCCACCCTCTGCCCGCTGCGTGGCCCGGCCGGCTGGCGGGAGGGCTACCTGCCGAGGGCCAGCAGGCACATGGCCACGATGGCCGTGCCGAACTGCGCCATGCTCTTCTGGATGACGATGCCGTCGATGGCGCGGCCGGTGTAGTAGGGCAGGAACGTCTCTCCTGCGGGAGACGGGGCTCAGGGGGCGCCTGCGGCGGGGAGCCTGCACCCTCCCTCCCGAGCCCCCCACAAACTCTGCTCTCCCCAGGGAGAAGAGCCACAGGAGGCTCGGGAACTGCAATCTGAACCCAGTGCGTGAGGATTAGTCACAGCTACCGGGCACCAGCCACGGGGCCACGGGGCCACGGGGCCACGGGGCCACAGAGCCACGGGGCCACAGAGCCACGGGGGCCACAGAGCCACGGGGCCACAGAGCCATGGGGCTAAGGGGCCCAGGCAGCACTGCATTCCCTCCGCACAGACTCTTTTTAAAAAAATATATATTTTATTGATTTTTTACAGAGAGGAAGAGAGAGGAATAGAGAGTTAGAAACATCGATGAGAGAGAATCATCGATCGGCTGCCTCTTACACACCTCCACTGGGGATGTGCCCGCAACCAAGGTACATGCCCTTGACCAGAATGGAACCTGGGACCCTTCAGTCCGCAGGCCGACGCTCTATCCACTGAGCCAAACCGGCTTCGGCATCCACACAGACTCTGAGGTTGGTCGCTGTCACCCCACCTTACAGCTGAGGAGTGAGATGGCGCTCACTCAGGCTCAGGGACGTCAAAGCTACTGCTTTCTGGCTGGCGGGGTTCAGAGTCTGCCTTCTACAGCCTCAGTGAAACTGGTATCCTGGCTGGGAACTGTCCCTGATTATTTCCTACGCATTTGTCATCTACCCTGGGTGGATGTGGGATGTGGGGATGTCACAGGGCTGGAATGGGAGACTCAGAGGGGCTGGGTAATTTGCCAGAAGTCGCACAACCAATAAGAGAAAGGGCCAGGACACAATTCCAAACCAGCTTCCAATTTGGGGGGGGGGGGGTGTCTTTCCTTGTCCATCCCTCCCCCAAATTCAGATGCCCACTCGCACGCTATGGGAGTGATGGACGGGGAGTGGAGCGTGGCCAGACCAGGCTGGGTCCCCTGTCTGCACGGCAGGTCTCTCCAGAGGCCACGGCCTGGTCTGACCACGCTCAACAAAGGTCAGGGAATGATCCTGGGCAGCTCTACAGGACTGGCCTGGGCGGGACAGTGGGGCCTTCTGCGGGGTTCTGGCGCCCTCTGCTGGTGGTGGCACAGGGACCATAGGTGGCAGTCGCCATGGAGTCTCCATCACCCACCGGGGAGAAGGAGCATCCGCCAGCTCCAGCAGCAGCTGGCCCAGCCAGCACCGGGGAGTGCCACTGATGACCGTACTGAGCCCGTACCGGGTGCGGGCGCCGTGCTGAGCAAACCCCCTCGTCCAATCTGCCCAAGAACCACACGGACGGAACTCTCCGGTCAGCAAACCCCCGGCTCTGCCTTCAGAAGGTTTCCAGAATCCGACCACTGTTGCTGCCCCTCCTGCCCCGCCGTGTCCAGGCTGCCGACCCAGCCTGGGCCCCCTCAGGAGCAGCTCCCGGTCCTCCCCGCTCCGCCCTCGCTCCCATCAGCTCCTCCGCCCAGTGGACGGCCGGAGCTGGTGAAACCGAAATAAAACCTTGTCGTCCCTCAGCTCCGAACAGTCCAACGGCTGCCATCGCATCCGGGGGAACGGTCAAAGGCCCCTCCGGGCCCCTGTGCCTGCCCTGGCTTCACCCTCCGCGCCCCCCTCGCTCCCCGCTCCAGCCACGCCGGCCTCTGCTGTCCCTTTAACAGCCAGGGCCTCCCTGCCTCAGGGCCTTCGGACAGGCTGTTCCTGCCGGAGCACCGCACCCCACACGTCTGCTCCCTCGTCTCTTTCGAGTCTCAAACGCCTCCCAGTAGCCCTCCAGCTGTGCTGTTCTTCTCCCCATGTTTCAGGTGAGGAAACCGAGGCTCAGAGAGACTAAGTCACCTGTCCAAGTGTATGTAGTTGGGTTGCCATGGAACTCATCTTTAAGAATGTCAATTTGGCCTTAGCTGGTTTGGCTCAGTGGATAGGGAGTCGGCCTGAGGACTCAAGGGTCTCGGGTTCGATTCCGGTCAAGGGCATGTACCTTGGTAGTGGGCACATCCCCAATAGGGAGTGTGCAGGAGGCGGCTGATCAATGTTTCTCTCTCTTTGATGTTTCTAGATTTCTATCCCTCTCCCTTCCTCTGTGTAAAAAATCAATAATATATATATAAAGGGTGGTCCCAATACTCACAGGTGCTAATATTTACTGAGAGCTTTCTCTGTGTTAGGAGCTGTCCGAGGTGCCTTAACCTGTTCACTCCCTGACCCTCACAAGCCCCGGTGTGGTGGGCACTGTAACCCCCTTTTACAGATGACGAGTCTGAGACAGAGAGGTGAAGTAACTTGCCTGAAATCACACAGCGGTTAAGGGGCCTGGACTGAGAGGGGACGGAGGGTGGAGAGCAAGAGGAAGGGGCCTGCAGGACCGTGCCACCTCCGGGGTCTGCCTGTCCTCTCTGAGAATAGCCTGGCTTGTGGCCACTCCCAGACTGTGTCCCTGTGAGTTAAGCTGGTAACGACTCGTCACAGCCAACATTCCTGAGCGCGTACCGTGCCACCCTGGGCTTTGAACTCGACCTTTTCCTGTTTTTATTCCAGCTTTACAGCATCGTGCAACAGGGACACTCACAATCCCTGCTCCAAACAAGAAGAAGGAGGGGGCTCTGACGGTGGATAACGTGCCCACAATCACAAAGCCAGGGAAGGAACAGGACTGGGTAGCTCAGTAGGTTAGAGCCGGGGTCGGCAAACTGCGGCTCGAGAGCCACATGCGGCTCTTTGGCCCCTTGAGTGTGGCTCTTCCACAAAATACCACGGCCTGGGCGAGCCTCTTTCTTTTGAAGAAGCGGTGTTAGAAGAAGTTTAAGTTTAAAAAATTTGGCTCTCCAAAGAAATTTCAATGGTTGTTCTGCTTACATTTGTACTGCTTATATGTTGACTAATGTTTGCCGACCACTGGGTTAGAGCACCAGCCCAATATACCACAGCTGTGGGTTCAGTCCCCAGACAGGGCACGTGCATGAATCATCCAATGAATGATAAATACATGGAACAAGAAATCAATGTATCTATCTCTCTATTTCATCAGTAAATAAAAACTAAAAACACTGGGCTAGAGTGTGGCTTTCGAGCCGTTTGGACGGACAGGAGCAAATACATGTTACACCACATGGGCACACATACCTGAAACTAAAGTTCCACGAAACAATGTTTCATCTGACCGCTGGCAACAGCCTCAAATGGCCTTTCTCCTATCCTGCCTCATTACAAAAAAATGCTTGGACTCAGAGCTCCCACTTCCAGGAATTTATCCTATTTATACCCACGGCTATAGGAAATGTGTATGAATAGGGTTACTTATTCGAAGAGAAGAAAACTCAAAACCACCCAAGAGTCCAACCTCAGGAGACGGAACTAAATAATCGATGGTGTAACCACCCAGTGGACTCTTATGCAGCCGAATCAAAGAACGAGGCAGTGATCGGAAAATTCCAGAATATATTGTTGAGTGAAAAAAGCAAGACAGCCGAAGCCGGTTTGGCTCAGTGGATAGAGCGTCGGCCTGTGGACTAAAGGGTCCCAGGTTCGATTCCGGTCAAGGGCATGTACTTTTGGTTGCAGGCACATCCCTAGTGGGAGGTTTGCAGGAGGCAGCTGATCCATGATTCTCTCTCATCGATGTTTCTAACTCTCTATCCCTCTCTGTAAAAAATCAATTAAAAAAAAAAAAAAGCAGGACATAAAACATTGTGAGAGATGGAGCGAATGCCGGGTTGGTGTTCCTGTCTGTCTGTGGCTGCATAAGGAAACACGGGGAGCAGATATGGGAAATGAATCCAAGTTTTCCCTGCCCCCTTGGAAGATTCCGGAACTCTTTCCTATAGTTAGCTCTGGGGCTCAGGGTCCGCCAGAGGCAGAATGAGGAATGAAACACACCTGTGTTTACCTTGCCTGGTCAGTGTGATATTCGGACCATGTAAGTAAATGCTAACATTGACGAGGACAGAGGAGGCGTCCCCACCCTACAAAACCGGTTTCCAGCCGAAACCAGTTTGGCTCGGTGGATAGAGCGTCGGCCTGCGGACTGAAGGGTTCCGGGTTCAATTCCGGTCAAGGGCATGTACCTTGGCTGCGGGCACATCCCCAGTGGGGGGGTGTGCAGGAGGCAGCGGATCCATGATTCTCTCTCATCGATGTTTCTGGCTCTCTATCCCTCTCCCTTCCTCTCTGTAAAAAGTCAATAAAATATATGAAAAAAACAAACAAACAAACACACAAAAAAAGCCGGTTTCCTGGGTGCGCGCCGGCCCGAGGGGGCGCACTCACCCAGAGCCGCGATGACGAGGAAGAAGGAGGCGGCCACCAGGAAGGCCAGGTCGGGCTTGGTGTAGGACAGCAGCTTCTGCAGCGTGGCCCCCGACGCCTGCTCGGTCGCCGCCGGCTGGTCCTCGGCGGGGAAGCCCGGGGCCTCGGCCTCGGCCTCGGCCTCGGCGCCCGCCCCGGGCTCCAGGGCCTTGGCGGCCGGCCGCACGGCGGACAGCAGCCGCCACAGCAGGAAGGAGGCGGCGAGCGAGACGTAGGTCCAGGCGAAGAGGGCCCAGAACCAGGGGTCCCGCACGGGCTTGCGCACCTCGGAGAAGAGCAGCAGCTTCACGGCGGCGTAGACACCCACGAGGAGGCACACCAGGGCGATGACCACCCAGGAGGCCCGCAGCCGCCGCGGCCCCAGCGCGCTGTTCTTGGCCACGCCGAGCGCGGCGCCCAGCAGCAGGCAGCTGCGGTACAGGCAGGCCGCCCACAGGTCCAGCACCGAGTCGAAGACGTTGAAGTGGCGCACGTCCTCCAGCAGCCCGCGGTCCGGGCGGCTGAGGACGTAGATGGCCGTGGTCACGCCGATGTCCGCCGTCATGAAGGCCAGCGTCGCCGCCACCGCCTTCCACAGCTGCATCCTGCCGGCCGGCGGGCGGGTGGGCGGGCAGGCGGGCGGGCGGGCCGGCGGGGGGGGGGGGGGGGGGCGGGGCAGGCTCTATCTAGCTCATGTCGGGCAGAGCCATCGTCTGCGGGCGAGGCCAGCCCCCTGGGAGCAGAAGGGCGAGGGGTTCCAGTTGGCTGGCTGCCTCCTGGCTGTGTGGCCTTGAGCAGGTCACGCAGCCCCTCTGGGCCTCCGTTTCCTCGTCTGTAAAACCGACAAGAGAAGGGGCGTTGGGAAGATGCCTTTTGTTCAAGGACTGGTTCCTGAGCGCCCCCTGTGGGCCGGACCCTGGTCTCTGTGTTGGGGATTTCACAGTGAACAGAAATAACAGCCCTGACCGGTTTGGCTCAATGGATAGGGCGTTGTCCTGCGGACTGAAGGGTCCCAGGTTCGATTCCGGTCAAGGGCATGGACCTTGGTTGCGGGCACATCCCCAGTAGAGGGCGTGCAGGAGGCAGCTGGTCGATGTTTCTCTCTCATCCATGTTTCTGGCTCTCTATCCCTCTCCCTCCCTCTCTGTAAAAAAATCAATAACATATATTTTTAAAATAAATAAATAACAGCCCTAACCGGTTTGGCCCAGTGGATAGAGCGTCAGCCTGCGGACTGAGGGGTCCCGGGTTCGATTCCGGTCAGGGGCATGTACATTGGTTGCGGGCACATCCCCAGTAGGGGGCGTGCAGGAGGCAGCTGATCAATGTTTCTAGCTTTCTATCCCTCTCCTTTCCTTTCTGTAAAAAGTCAATAAAATATACATTTAAAATAAATAAATAACAAAGACCCCTGCTCTTGTAGAGATGACACATTCATGCTAGAAACAGGTAATAGACAGCGGAAGCAATGATTTAGCATGTCAGGGATAGGGCTGGCTGCGGGAGGCAGTGGGGTAGGGGGTGGAGGGCCGCGGGACTGCGGGTGATTTTATACAGGGTGCCAGGGAGGGCTGAGCTGTGAGGGTAATGCTTGAGCAAGACTGAAAGAGGCGAGGGAGTCTGCCAGGTGGCTCTCAGGGGAAAAGCATCGTGTGCGGGTGGAGCACACAGGGTCGGAGGCCCGAGGTAGGACCGTGCGAATGCGCGAAGGGAGGAGGCAAGGAGGCCCCAGGAGGTCAGAGAGGTGAGGGGCCAGGGGCCTAGGACTTGGCGGATGAAGTTGAGATGAGCAAAGAGTACAGTGAATGGCTGCTGTTTGACTACAACTGTCATTGCTGCTAATTTCTCTGAACCTGTTTCCTCATTCGTAGGACGGTAGCGTGAATATCTGGGCCCAGTGCCTGGAACATATAATAGTAATTGCGGCTGGTTGTTATCAGCGTATACAGTGGGTGCTTAATAAATGTCTGTTCCCGCCGAAGCCGGTTTGGCTCAGTGGTAGAGCGTCTGTCTGCGGACTGAGGGGTCCCGGGTTCGATTCCGGTCAGGGGCATGTACATTGGCTGCGGGCACATCCCCGGTAGGGGGTGTGCAGGAGGCAGCTGGCCGATGTTTCTCTCTCATCGACGTTTCTAGCTCTCTATCTCTCTCTCTTCCTCTCTGTTAGAAATCAATAAAAATATAAAAAAATAATTACTTATTTTATAAAAAAATAAAAAATAAATGTCTGTTCCCTTCTCTCCTCCCCAAATAAACTCGTATCTTCTTAGACCAAGAGGGGGTGGCTGTAGGCCCTAGAGCAACCCAGGGACTTTGACATGTGCCTGGAAGTTTCCAGAATCTTGGGCCCTCACCCCCAGCCCTGGAGCTTGATGTCTGCTTTGTCTAAAGCACCCCTGACAGTGAGCCCCAGAGGACTCAGCCGGGGCCCCGGAGGCCCCGGAGCTGCAGGGACCCTGCGGGACGCGGGCCTGGAGGCGTGAGTGTGGGAGAGGGGCAGGGCTGCCTCTTGACCTGGGTCTGTCCCTGTCTCTTGGGGTTTTTATTAGCCCGTCTGCCAAACGGGATAAGGAAAGGGGTGAGGTATGGGGCAATAGGAGGGGTGGCCAGAGTGACAGGAACACCGGGCTGGTGCTTCCACATCCCCATTTACAGGTGGGTAAACCGAGGCACCGAAAGGCCAAAGCATATACCCCGTATCGCTCTGCCAATAGAGGCCCACGCCAGGGCCCAGGCCTGCATGTGAGGGTCCCAGCAGCTGCCTCGGCCCCTGTGCCGCCCGCCGGGCACACAGCCGGTGCTCAGTCACTGCGAGGGTGATCTGCCTACTCAATCCTCCCAACGACTTTGTGAGCCGTGGGCTGCAAAGTGGGAAAACTGAGGCCCAGAGAGGTTACTCCCTTGCCGAGCTCCCACGGCTGGGGAGCTGCCGAGCTGGGATTTGAACCCAGAAACTGACTGGCTCCCAACGTGGGCCCCACACGGCTGAGCTGAACGCTCGTCCATGCAGCAAGTGCTTGCAGGGAGCGCTCCTCTGAGGAACGGAGCGTACACGAGAGGGCACCGCCAGCAGGCGCTGGTGACAGGCATGACGACCACAATGACAGCAATGACGGGGATGGCACTCACGGAAGTCGGCGGGTGCCTGGCACCGTCCTGAGTGAAGTGCATGCCCGGATGCTCACGAGAATCCTAAGAGGTAGGTTCTATGGTCCCCGTTTTACAGAAAACTGAGACCAGAGAGGGTAAGGGACCTGTCTCAGGTCACACAGCTAAGAAACGGCGGAGCTGGAGGCGAACGAACCCAGGCTGTCGATTTCCAAAATCCTAATCCTTCCAAACGCCCTCTCCCAGGGCCAGGGGAAGGGTCTGGGGTGCCGAGAGGACCCAGGGGCGTGCTGGTTCCCTGAGCCCGGGCCCTGCCTGCACACCAGCGCACCTGCAGACTCCAGTCTGTCCCAGGGAAGGCGGTGGCCTGGTCAGCAACTGCCCTTCCCATGGAAGCCAGGGCAGAGCGGGATCAAAGGGGTGGGGGCGGGGGAGACACCCCCTGCCAGGCCCGTGCCCCGCCCCCAGCCCTGGCGGGGCTGCCAGATCCAGCTCCTGCCTGCTGCAATGCAGAGGCCCTGGAGTGGGTGAGGGAGCCGGAGCCCAGGGAGGGTGCTGTTGGCCTGGAGCGGCCTCGGCGACAGGCCTCCCGGCCAAGCCATTGCCGGCTGCCAGGGCCCTGCAGCCGCGTTCCTGCTGCTCCCCTCCTGGGGGCACAGGGAGTCCCTCAGCCCCCAGAAAGATTCTGGGGTTCAGAAGTGGGGCCGAGAGGAGATCTGCCAGAGACTAGCTCGTGGGCTTGCTAGCTCTCCCTGCCCCCACTTCCCCGCCCCCTCAGCCACTGGGGAACTTCCTTCCTGCACCTCTCTGCTTTGGGTGATGTCAACCCCATTAGACAGCCACTGGGGAGGCCCGGTGGATTATGCCGACACAAATAAAATTTCGCATTCCAGCATCACACACTTATCGGGATGTGTTTGACGGAGGGAGAAACTGAGCTCCAGATGGGGAGGCAGCGAGGTGTGTCTGGGGCCACCCAGCCCGCGGGCGGCAGAGCGGCAGAGCAGTGACAGCACCGAGGTCCCCGGGTCCCGGGTGCCCGGTCCTTCTCGTCCCGGCTCAGATGGGGCCGAGTCCAGCTGGGCTCGGGTTACAGCCCTCAGTGGGGACAGGCCACTCGGTTATTTTTCAAGTGACTGAGCGGCACGGGGGAGGGGACCAGACCACGAGCTGTGACCGTGACCGTGACCATGACCATGACCGTGATGGAGAGGAGGGGAGGATGAGGGCCACAGGACCGCCTGGAGGCATGTCCCTTCTCCCCCTGCCTGAGCCGGGGGACTCGACCAGGGGAGGCTGGAGGGCAAATCCTGTGTGTGGGTGGCCCGAGGGACAAGCACGAGGCAGTGGCCAGAGGCCAGAACAGACACTGCCCTGGGCCTGGGCTGGCCCAGGGAGACAGGGGGCAACTGGCCTTGACCCCAAATACTGGATGAGCCAGGCCCCTATCCCACGGGGTCCTGTCAGTCAAAGGCTTTTCTTCCCAGAAGAAGACATGGAGGTCTGGGAGCCTCCAGCCAGCAGCACAGCGCACAAGGAAAGCCTGGAACAGCCAGGCAGAGATAATTAATATAATAATAATAATTACACTCACAACAGCTGCCCTGTAAGGAGTGATGCTGAATGCCTTGCATCTCCGTTAATCCTCCCCACCACCCTAAGGCGGGCGGGCAGATGGATGGGCGGGCGGGCGACAGTCCTCACTGTTATCATCCCATTTTACAGACGGGCACAGGCCGGGGGAAGTTGAGTGACAGGCAGAGAGCAGGCCGAGGCAGGACTGAAACTCACCACTCCCTGCTCTGCGGGCGGGGGAGGGGCTCGCCCAGGGACCAAAAGAACAGGATCCCGAAAGGCCTGGTGGCCCAAGGCCAGCTTCGTCCCTCACCCGGTGAACTTCTCACCCCCACGGCCAGGCATCACCCAGGGCTGGGAAGGCTGTTGGTGCTCAGGGGACCCGGGCTGGCCGAGGCCAGGTCCATGGGATGGTGCCACCGTGGGGGTCTCTGGCTGCATGGCCAGGACGGATGGACGGACGGAGTGGGGTCCACCGTGCTGGTTGCATCCTGGCTCCCAGCGCCGCTGAGCCCCCGCCTCCCACGCTCTCGCGGCTCTGGCGAGGCAAACGGGAGCCGCCGTGGCCCTCCTACGACCGTCCTCTTGCCACTTGGCTTTGGTCCCTCCCGACGAGGGGCATGGACGCCAGCCTATCTTCAGGGGGTGGGGCCGTGGGCAGAGGGCAGCGAATCCTGTCAGACAAGCTTAAAGCTGTCTGGATGAAGACTGGGAGTGGGACGGGGCACCCTGTTCTAACAGAGCCCCAGGAATAAGGGGGCGGGGGACCGGGAACCTACAGGCCTAACTGCCAGGGTGAGTGCACCAGGCCACGGCCCCGCTGGGGAGACTGAGCGAAAGGGCTGGCTAAGGTGGGCAGACTCAGGAGAACCCCGTGGCGCTTAGGATGTGTGGGCAGGCCCCGCTGCGGGGGGCAGGGAG